GGTTCCTTCAAGGCTGTAGTGTCAAAGCTTTCTCAGGTATTCATAGATTGGTATTCAAATCATACACAGGGAAGTTACTTCTTTCCAATAATCTCCATTCATTTTATTCATTTGTTTTGTTTTTTATTCATATTTTATTGCAACACACTCTCAAAATGCCTGCCATAATAACCTGATGTGTCAATTACTGAATTTATGACACAAATTGATCCTGAATGTACTGATCCAGCATATAATTCATTGCCATTTATTATAATAAGTTAAGATTAGGAATGTGACCAAAATAAGTTTTGATACTGACTTGGGGAATGTTTGAGTCCAGTGAATATTGCATAGGGTCAAACCAGGAGGTGATACTCTTCAGTACCATGGACAGCTTTTGGGCTTCAAGGCTGGACATGGACCAGTTTAATCACTGGCACCACATTATCTTAAGGAATGTAATAAAAAAGTCTATTGTTACCTATGAAAGGACTGACAGGCCAGTACACAGTGGACACTTTATAGATTACAAATCCTTTACAAATCATGGGTTAAAGGGATAACTGTTGGATGGGAAAAAAAACAATCACATCTGGTTTAATGGCATTGCTCCTTCATTGACATTGCAGAATATTGCTAAACACCAGAAGAAGCAAGAATGCTGGTGCTCAAGCTAGGTGTATACCCTATCAAACTCTCTTAATAAAACCTTTGCTGGCTTTTCTGGCATTTTACTTTGCGACTGACCAATTTCCAATCCTATATCTGCCATCTATGCATTCATACATCACATTCCTATGCCATTTAGTGACAGGAATTTGATCCCAAATATCTTGAAATAAGAAAGAATTATTTAAACCATCATAATAAATGTTCAGTTTTCATAATAGTATATATCATTACATTGTTATGAATAGAATAAAGAAATAGATACCTGGAAACTCAGGATGGCTGCCAATCTAAATATTTGATAGACAGGCAGCACATGGATATGGACTAGCACAAGGAGTAATGGCTTCTCTTTGTACAGGTTTATTCCATTCAACCCCCTTCATGGAGAATCCCAAACCCGGCATCCATCATAAAGGAATCAATGACTCAATATACTCCCAAACCCCAATACACCCAAACCCAATGTCAAACAAGCCTCCTGCCCCCCTCCCCCAGTTCAACCCACACTCTCCTAAAAAACTGCTTTCAGCATTGTATTACAAGGGAGGAAAAAAGATTAGCCAGGGTTTCCACTCCTTATTGCTATCCTATGAATCTTCCTCACAGCGAGGTTGATGTATGTAGATATCAGGCATGGACAAGATTGGACTCAGCTGCGATTCTCCCCCTTGGTTGAATAGCCTAATCAGACTCACTGTTTAGACTCACACATGAAGAATGGCCATTTAGTTGAGGCGTTGGACAGATGCCAACACAACAACAACAACATATTCCATTTATATAGAGCCTTTCACGTCAGGAGGCCTTCCCAAGGCACTGGACAGTCAGGGATCCACACCCTAGCTGCTGATCGGGATCAGGAGGGACGGAGGGCGGAGAGGGTAGGGGTAAGAGGGTGACTGAAGCCACGGCCGAAGAGGAAGGTCTTGAGATGGGTCTTGAAGGAGGCAAGGGAGGGGGTGAGGCGGAGGGACTGGAATGGTGTTCCAGAGGGTTGGGCAGAGAGGCTGAAGGCCTGCCGCCAATGTTAGGGTAGGCAAGGTGGAGAACGTGAAGCACCCTTTGAACTGGGCCTCGGCATGAACCAATGCCTTGAGAAGAGGAAGGGAAATAAGAATATTGATTAAAAGTGCCCCAAGCTACTCCAGATGATTGTTATAACATGAATGTCCCATTCATTAACTCGATAGACTCATTGAAATACATCAATGCTCTTCGCGCAATGTGACCTAACATTTCTCATCTAGAATTCAATCAACTGAGTTTACAACATCAGTTTATTCATTTCTCTCAATGTAAATATTAATCCAAGAATCACTTTTGTAAAATATTCTCCTCTTGTCTGCAATTCAAGGCTTTATCAAATCTATTATTTCATGTTATCTTCACATTACTTTAAACTGATTTAGCAGAAGGTGCAACAAGTTTGACATTTACATTTATAGAATGAGGAAATCTCGATATAAATATGTAAGAGTGATATTTTTAGGCTTACTCATACTTTTATTCACTGGCATAGTTGGTAGCAATTTCACCTCTAGATTAGAAGGTTGTGTCGTGCATTGGTCTGTGAACTCAAGCCTAGGCTGGCTCTGGGAGAACACTGATGTCCTTTGGAAGAATTCTTAAACCAAGGTTTGAATATTTGTGAAGTGAAAGAATACCAGATGCCAATGTAGGCATATGTGTGAAAGAGGTGATTCATTTCCTAAAAAATGCTGTATAAGATGGCAAGATGATGACTTGTTTCACACAGTCAGCCTGATTTGGTTGGTAGCGCTCTCACCTCTGATCAGAAGGTTGTGGGTTCATGCCGGAACTCTGAACTCACACTTTGGGCTGTGAGTTCAGTGTAGTATTGGGAGAAGACTGTCATGGGAATCATAAACTGCCACCTAAGCATAGATTATTTCCTTTATATGGAATGGAATATGCACTCTCCCTAGAGGTACATCTAATTGTGTAAAGAATCAAATTCAGGTCAGCAAGAACCAAGCCTTGGCGACCCCAGGATATCTGTTAGGGTATTACTGGTATTTAACCAATTAAAGCCATACAGTTTGGCATTGCAAACACTGTGCCAGCTATCTTATGATTATTCAGCTAGGGCCACTCTACCAGGTCAGGCTTTGGCTTGCGGGGTTAACAAAAAGGAGCTGAGCGTGAGTGGAAAGAATTCTGTCCCCGGTGACCTGCCAACGAGTAGGCCGGCTAGTGTGCCATCAACGTTGTGTTGAGGTACTGTTGACCCACTGGCTCAGGAACAAGTCAACCGAAACCACCACAAAAGGTGACGTGATTGCGATATTCCATTGCCAGGAAAATCACCTTGGAATCAGCTCAGCCCCAAGGAGTCCCAGCTTACTCACCACCCCCTCAAACCACCCCCCCCAACCGACCCCTATCCCAGAGGATAATCACAAAACTGATTAATTGCTGTCTTTCTTCCCAGTGATCAAGCCTGTGCCTAAAACAAATATAAACTTGTACGATCCGTGTCAACTGATGAAAATTTATGTTGCCTGAGATCCTGGGATTTTTTTTTCAAAAAGTGATCTTTCCTAACCCACACGTTTTTAAGATGTCAGCTCAATAATTAAATCTGTGATGTATCTGAGAAACACGGCCAATTTATCTTTTTTTTTAAAAAAAGTGGTTTTGGGAGTACATCCCAGATCCCATTCCATTTCCATGACCTCTTATCAGAGAAACAAATCCATTTCCAAGAAATATTTAAACCGGCAATTCATTTGGGTCTTATTTTAACATTAAAAATAAGAAACCTGATTTTGTAAGCTTTTGTGGCGAGCTCAAAGAATTTCAACCATTTTTGGCGATGATTACTTGGATCCGTGAGAGAAAAAAACTTTTTTTTTATCGATGTTTAGATATTCAGAAATCCAGACGTAGCATCTTTTTAAGTGTGTGTCCTTCCCTTGGCTTTCCCATGTGTGTGATTCTTTTATTGTGTCAAAGTTTCCTCAAATGCAATCCAATTTCTTTAAAAGAAAAACCTTTAAATGTCCATTTCCCAAATATACTCTGGAAAACATTTCCTTGACTTAGTCTGTGGCCAATTTCAATGTTATTTTATTTTATTTTATTTTCAATTGCCTTTATTAAACTGCATCTTGTGTGGAAAGGCGATTAGGGTGAGGTGAGGGGGGGTGAGGTGAGGTGGGTGGGGGGTGGGGGGGGGTGGTGTGGGGGTTGACCACTAGGTGGCACTCAAACGCTGCGAAGAAGATTGGAATTTACCCATACAATAACAGAGGGGGTGTGGGGGGGGGGAAAGGAAAAAAAAACCCTCAGGAAATCCATCACTTGAAAGCAGGCAGCTCCTTTGCACACAAAACTGTTGGAGGATCTTAGTCGAATCATCAAAGAGCACCTGCAAGACGAGTGTTTGGTGACGTGCTGGATGGAGGACATTGAGAAATATTAGTTCCTGAGCCTATTTGGGGAGCACTATGTGGAGTAGATCTGCCCATTACTTGGACAGGAGAGCAAGTGTACAAAACCAGCCCCCCGTTTGCTCCAGTTGAAAGCGTATTGTAAGTAAAATAGTCTAGGATTGATTTATTTTTCCCCAGCAAGGACTTTGTCTTGAGTACCTTGCACTCAGCCTGTGTTTCATTTCATTTTTTTAATATGTAGATATATATATATATACATATTCTGGAAAGTGCAGTTATTTTAAAAGTGACTGGCGAGATGGTGTGAGAAGCTTACCGTTTCTGGGTGGGGGGGGTGGGGGGGGGGGGGACAAGCTAGAAATAATAGGGAGGGTTTATCTGTTGCAAGTGGCTTCTTAGAATGAAGAACCTCTCCAGCATTTTGCATTATATCTTCCCTCGATATAGTTTATAGTCCTTTTGATTTCATTGCGTGTAACAATGTGAGCTTTCAGCTGACTTTAGTTATCATGGGGTGTGTGTGTGTGTATATATATATATATTTGAGTAAATGCCAAAACGGGTTTGTGAAGGGCACTGGGTGGGGGGGGGGGGGGGGAGAGAGAGAGAGTGTGTGTGTGTGTGTTTGTGTGTGTTTTTTGCACTGAAATGTCTCCTTGTGACGGTGAGGGAATTTGATGTCCCTTTTTTTTGTATTGCACTGGGTCTGTCCCGACCACAGCGAAGTGGAGCAGTGAGTGAGTGAGTGAGTGTGAGAGAGAGAGAGAGAGAGAGAGGGGCTCAGAGTCGGTATACGTTGCAAGTGATTTGAGCACCAGATGCAGCGACTGAGAGCTCAGGCTCTTCCTCATTCACATTTGACTTCTTTTTCAGGTGTGACCGACACATTGTAAAAAAACACACACACACACACCTCCTCCTTCTCCTCCTCTCTGCATCTCACTCTCTCTCTCTCTCTCTCTCACTCTCATTAATTCATTCATGCACTGCTGTGGTGGGGTGTGAAATCACAGGACTGGCTATAAGCACTCGCTCGCACCCTCTTAAATGCAGATTGCCCGGTGAGATCTTACTGGTAAGTGAGACCTTGTTTTATTTTCTTTAAGGAGGTAGTAAGGTAGTATTTTTCTTCTTAATTTTCCCTCTCTCTCTCTCCCCCCCCCCCCCCACTCACTCACTCACTCACTCACTGACCCACACACACAGCTCCAGCCTCAACAATATTGAGTGTTTTTGTGCTGTTTCGCTGAAGTTTGGAAAGAGCTGAGGCACTCACTCCAATGTTTTTTAAATCTGGTTTTGATTTTTGTCCTGCACACCACGATCAAGCTTTCATTTTCTGGGCTGATGCGGAATTTATTTATGTTCCCTTTTCTCTTCCCCCCCACCCCCCACCCATTCACCATCCACCCCACCACCCACCCTCCCACCCACCACCTCCCTCTTTAATTTCTCTGAAGCTGCAAAACGTTAAGTGCTCGTGTTACAATCTGCGTCTTTGATTTCATTTTTTTTGGGGGGTGTTCTCTGGAGGTTTTTGTCTTTTTTTCCCCCTCCTCCTCCTCCTCCTCCTCCCTCTCCTCCTGTCCCTGTTCAGCGGGTGTTGGGAGGAAGCCTGACCGTCGGAGGTGCTCTTTACAGCGGGGAAGCAGACCTGTCCGACTCGGTGGGTCTATCGTATGGCTATAATTTGGTCGGATGGGATGGGGGTGAATTACTTTAATGGAGTGGGTGTGGGTGTGGGGGGGGGGGGGGGGGGGAGGAGAGGAGAGGAGGAAGAAAAAAAAAAGTGATGAATAAGTAACATCGCACTTGTCTTTTAATGATTTCAATGCACCTTCTAATTAACGGTCCAGGTCGCTGGTGGTATTAAGACAATAAGTCCTGATGTTTAAATGCCAACTGGGAAATCGATATGTTTTGGGTAAGGTTCTCCCCTCTCCCTGGGGCGGCGTTGATGGTGGGTTATGCAATCTTTAAAACCCAATCCATCGCTCATTTCCCCCCCCTTTTCCCCCCCCCCCCCCCCTTTTTAAGTTGGTGGGAATTATTTTTTTTGACGTTGGTCACAAGAGCTACAGGTGCAGCTCTGCCAGTGCCTCCCCCACCCCCCCCCCCTCTCACCCCGGATTTGAGGCTCACACCCTGGGCTGCCTTTGCACACTCGCCTCCAGGGAGATCTCACCACCTCGGTCCTTGGGACCTTTCTCTATCTCTCTCTCTCTCTCTCTCTCTCTTCCCACCCCCCTCCTCCTTCTCCACTTTCTTCTCTCTTTCCTCCCCTTTGCGTTTTATCTCTCTCCCCCCCTCTCTCGCTCTCTCTCTCTCTCGCTCTCAAGTCAGAGGAATGATCTGCAGTCCCTGTCCCTTATCTCTGATCTTGTTAATGTGAGCTGATAATAGAGCGTAAAATTTGGGGAAATCGCCTAACCAGATAAAGCCCGTTTGTACTTTCTCTCCCGAGTCAAAAGGCGAGAGGTTTGTGGTCAGTCGCCTCGTTCCTCCTGTTTGCAAAGCAGGAACCTCTCTCAGCTGCCCAGAGAGAGAGAGATACAGAGAGAGAGGGAGAGATACAGAGAGAGAGACAGAGGGAGAGATACAGACAGAGAGAGAGAGAGAGAGAGAGATACAGAGAGAAAGAGGGGAAGAGATACAGATAGAGAGATACAGAGAGAAAGAGAGGGAGAGATACAGAGAGAGAGACAGAGGGAGAGAGACCGAGGGAGAGATAGAGAGAGAGTCAGAGGTAGAGGTACAGAGAGAGAGAGATACAGAGAGAGAGAGAGGGGGAGAGATACAGAGAGAGAGACAGAGGGAGAGATACAGAGAGAGAGATGGGGAGAGATACAGAGAGAGAGACAGAGAGAGTCAGAGGTAGAGATACAGAGAGAGAGAGATACAGAGAGAGAGAGGGGGGGAGAGATACAGAGAGAGAGACAGAGGGAGAGATACACAGAGAGAGATACAGAGAGAGGAAGAGATACAGAGAGTCATTGCAATCACATAGAACCGCAGCGACTGTTAAATCTTTCAGGGCATCTTTGCGGGGCCACTTGACTTGGGTTTTTTTTTAATTTTTAATTTTTTTTTAAAAAAGCACTCGATCTAATGATTGCTGATTGAGTTTCTCCGACCCCGGGTTTGTTTTCCTATCAATTACCAACGTTAATTGGTGTGGAGACAATACCCGCTCACGCAGTGGCATTTTGGAGTCTGCAAACTTCTCGCTGATGAATCTCTGGCAAACTCGTCTTCAGGGGGGAGTTCAAGGGGAGGAAGAAAACAATGTGCGTTTTTTTCTCTCTCTCTCTCTCTCTACTGGTTGTATGCATATTGCTAATTTGAATTTAAAAATGGGAACACCGAACCAGTGTGCAGAGAGCAACATCAGAGGCGCTTTATATCCCCTGACATCCCCTCCAGAGGGTATATAATATATATTTTATATATATAATGCAGCTTTGCCAATGTCACTGTGCGTCCACTTGACACCAGAGAGTGAACTCGTAAAGCACATCCTCACTTCCCCTTCGCCTGACTTGGGAGCGATCAACAGCTCGGTTCAAAGTTATTCCCTTCTCCTCCTCCTCCTCCTCCTTCTCCACCTCCTCCTCCTCCTCCTCAACCCCCGGACGTTTAGTTTAAATTCAGAATGGTTTGTTTTCTTAGGATATTCTATTCGCTGGGAAATTCTCCAAAATGCATTTGAATGGGAGAAAATGATGTGTCTCTGTGTGTGTGTGTGTGTGTGTGTGTGTGACAGTATATAAGTTGTCCTCTTTGTTTCTAACGTAAGAGGTTGGGGGAAGAGGGTGAGTTACATTATTTCCCTGTGCCTTTGCCAACTCCATCCCACCCCCACCAACTGGAGTGGAGATGAGGGGAGGGAGAGGGGGGAGGGGGAGGAGGGAAGAAGAGTGGAATCACCAGCATCGTCCTTTTGATGTTTTAATTGCATTATTAATTTTTAATGCGTGCATACACAGTGACAGTAATTCCTATTAGCTCAGCGTGCAAAGGCTTGAAAATTTATCGATGGAGTGGGGTTGGGGGGGGGAATGTTTCCCGGAAGGCAAATTAAGGCATTGAACATCAATTGAGCACACAAGCGACGTTCAATCACGATAATGTGTAAAGGATGGGGTGGGGGGTGTGGAGACTTAACGCTGCATTCAATGCAATGTACTGGACACATTCTGCAGAGAGAGAGAGAGAGAGAGAGACTGGTGATTGCTTTGAGCATTTGCTCCTGTTTGGCCGGACTGATGATGGGCTTCTCTTGCATCCAGTGGAACACAGTCCACCCCACTTGACCCATACGAGAGCAATTCATGTGAGGAACCTTTCTCCTCTTCTCCACCCCTTCAAATCCATCCGAACATCTGTCCATTTTTGGTTTCAATCCGGTGCGATTTTGTTCCCCCCCCCATCCCAGTTATCTTGAATTCAAAATGCACTTGCCAGGTTATGTCAATTTGACACTATTGCAGATTCCTCCTGTCTCCCACTCCCACATTCCTCTTGTCCCCTTTTGCCCAGTCTCCAGGTTGCAGGGGACACATTTGAGAGTCTCTTTGGTTGGGGGGAGAAAAGGCAGAAGCAATCAGTGATTGTAAATGTTATTCCCCAAAAGCCTTCTTTTTTTAAAAAAAAATTCTGGTGAGGTTGGGAGCGCCATAGACAGCTTAACACGAGAGAATTTGTTTCAAATCTAGGAATAAAAATTCCCATCTCAAAGCATCTGGCACTCTCTACATTTGTAAGTCTTGCAGCATTGACCTGCTTGCCACCTGCAGATAGAAAAACCCACCTGTAGTCTTATTCAGTCTTATTTAAAAATCTTATTTATTTATGCGACGCTCCCAAACTCGACCCAACCCCAGTCAGATTTTTATTTAAACCAACTTTTTTAAAAGAAAAGACCAAATTACAACACATGCAACGGGCTGGCTGGCTGCTTCCAAGTGGATGTGGCAGCTTTGATTCATCATTGATGCCTCATCAGGCCTGTATGTACGTGTAAGTCATCATGTCACAATAACGTGGGTCAACTCAACACTCAAAAGGAAACCCAAGTGGATGTTGCTTAAATGTCCAGTCAGATTTGACCTTTCTCGCGGCTGGAAGTTTGGCAGTGGATTGCTTTTATTATACTAGTTTCATTCATATCTATTCCAATTGCCAATACAGTGTGGTCCTGCCCTGATTAATAGTGGACAGACGCCAGCTGTTGGGCATGTTTCTGGGCAAAATGCATTGTAGTTTTCAGTGCATTTGGAGAAGCTTAGGACCACACAACAGTTTTAGCGTGAGATACTAAAAGAAATGATGGGCTTTCTTTGCGTTTGATAACAATCATCAGCTTTATTTTACTCATAGATGTAGGCGAAGGGCTTTCTCACAAGTTTCTCTTTGTTTCTGAAATCGGATGGCTGCTGCTTTGTGATGCTCATGGACTTGTGTATATTATCAGCAATTCTGTCAATAACCTGCATTTGAGAATGAGCATCAGTTACTCCTCATGAAGTGAGCATGTCCTCGGTTTTGTAGAGGTGGCGAGAGCCTGATTTCTCCCTGTAGCACCTGTCCTATTTCTGGGAAGAGGGGAAGTGTCTATAAGATTTTATCTTGCTCCCTCAGAGGGTAATACAGGTGTTATTTAGAGAATTTTTTTTAACCTTCAACAAAGACTGAGGACAAATGCATTCACTAGAGGCAGCAACCTTTTTGGTCTTCTCAAACTTTGACCGTATATGTATATTTCCCCCTTTACAAAATTAACTGGGGGTAAGAAAACAATATCTCTTCAATTATCTTTAAACGCCTCCCAATTCTTGCTCGTTCTCCATCTCTCCCATTGTTAGTCGATTTGAGACATTAATTTGTGCAAATGCACATGTTTTGTTGCCTACTGTAACTCTATACAGTTTATAATTTGAAAAAAAGTCCTTAACTAACTTTTGCCAGACATTCTGAGGTAAAGGAATATATTGAAACACAAATTGGATTTCAGAATATGTGCCGTGAGGCACACTGCTGTGCTATTGGTTGTTTCACACTGGGATTAAAGTTTGG